TCCTCTTTTCGGAAGAGGCTAAAAGAGAACCAAATGTCCCCTTTCCCTCCCCATACAAACAAACTCTTACAGTTATATTTAAAGCCAGGGACTGGTGAGGAACCTTACTAAGTGTATCTTAGGATAAACAACGAAACAGTAACATTGGAAACATGGTAGTAATTGGGCATTCTCTTTAAATGCTCTTAAAATGGAAAGAATGATTATTTTCAGAAACTTCATCTGTGCTAGTCAAGGTGAGAATCTAACACTGGCTCCAAGAAGACCCTCGGAGATAGTTAAACTGCGAACTGGATTGGGATGGTCACTCAGTCCTGTCCATCTGTGCGTCTGACCCCGAGAGAGCTGAGTGCTCCCAGCGGCCCTGAGCACGGCCGCCTCACCCCGAAAGCCTCCTCGCACAGAACGCTCTGGCAACTCTACCTTCATCGGTTCCGTTCATGATGGACACGCAGTCGTCCCCTACAAGGAAAGGTGACGCCTTAAACACTTCCTTCACCTAGATGTAAAGAGAGACACATCTTTATCCTCCAAAATCTAAATTCACAGTCCCAATCAGGCTATCTTCCAGCAGGGGGTCTCAAAACACCAGAGGTGTCAGCTGCTGCTGCTGCAAAGTAGCAAAGCTCAGGTTTTGTGTTCAGCTTTTATGATGCTCTGCCAGCGCTTTCCTTGTTAATCTACTCCCTGGGCTAGGGACGCAGACGCTGCCCTGGAGAGCCCTGTGCTGAAGCAGATGCTGCCGGGGAGAGCCTGCCCTAAGGCACTCTGGCCTGGAAGGCTCTGGGGTGCACCGACTCTGATGGGCCCCAAAATGCTGCCTTGCTTTAGGACGGGGGATGAAGGAGCAGGAAGCCCTCTAAGGCAGAGCTCAGACCTGGGACCCCGCATGGCCTGGAGACGAGCTGGGAGAGGGGAGGCAGAGGCAGTGAGCAGCTCCATTTGAGGTGTTTCCTTATCCATTTTTTTAAATCAAGTATTGACACACAGGAACTTAAATACACCTGGTACACCCCAAATGCAGCGGTGTCCCACAATCCTACTTGAGTGTATAATTTTGTAAGTGATCTGGATGGATGTGCAACCACCCATCGTTCAGCAGCTGGTTTAGAAATAGTATAGAGGACCGGGAGGACCATTCTGCTTAGAACAGTTTTCCTGATTTGGCTGACGAAAGCAACCTCCAGGCACCTGTTAAAGAGGGGTTCCAGGGCCCCCTGCATGGGTGGTGCAGGGCCTGGGGACACGCCTGGCCATGTGAGAGCCAGGAAGAGGCTCAGGGTCTCTGCAGAAGGTACACCTGAGTCTCGGCCTGGGAGCAGGACTGGCTCCCATGAGAACAACAGGCTGGAGCCAAGATGTCAGGAACTTGGTTCCCACAGCCTTTGAATGAATCACCAAACTCTTGGGTGACAGCCCTTCAAAAGCACAATGAATTTTTAAAGCAAAGTTGTTCTTATGATAAAAATAGGTTTATGCTAGAAAACACCAGCAGTTTTAAATGTCAGGAGGAAGCCAATGTCATTCACTCTCTAGTAACAATTCAGCGTTTCTCGCTTCAGGAAGCACCCCACGGCCTGACCACTTGGACACTGGCTGCATGTTTCGTGTTTTCAGTTACTGTAAGCCACCCTCACGAAGGAAATGGGCAAGATCACCTTTTGTAGTAAATTCTGAGCCTTTTCTCCTGGTAGCAGACGTAAGCCAGCGGTAGCCTTGAGCACCAATGGGGTGGCCTTCCAGAAGTCAAAAGGAATTTCTTGTTTAGCAACATCCAGCAATTCCTGAATACCCGGAGTGCTCTGTGAACGGGTAAAACAGGGTCTGTCAACACTTAGCTTACACTCACAGATGCTCCCTCACCCTTTGGTTTTTATTAACTTATAAATACATAGTTTCTAATTTTCCAAATCAGTATAAAACAGCAACTGCAGTGGTGCTGGCGGGTGTGTGGGGCACAAGGACCAGGAAAACACAGAGAAATGTCCTTGGCGGAACGTCACGGGATGAGGCACACGAAAGGGGCTCCTGTTCTACACGCCTGGCCACCAAAACCCTCACCCGGCGACCTCAGACGAGTGTGACTCCCCTGGACATCATGAGCAAATTCTGGGGTCGCTCACAGTGCTAAAACCCATGAATAATTACACTGAGGGGTCATTTTCACCTGGGGGAATGCTTGATCCAAATACTGGATAAGGCCCTGTGTCTGCGGGGACGGGTCGGGGAAAGACTTTGGTAAAACATTGCTGGCATGTCAACAGGCACAATGCCATGCGGGCAATTTGGCAAGGTGTGTGCAAGGGAAAAATACACTTTTACTAAGAGGCCCCATTCTAAGAATTCATTAGAGAGAGCTCTTTGCACATGTGGGTAATGAAGTGTATAGATTGTGACAAACAGCAGCCCTTCTTATACTGTTAAGATCAAAAGACTGGCAGTTATCGAAATGTCCTTCAGGCGGGACTGGTTCTGTAAATTCAATGTGCGCACATAACTGCAATACCATTCAGCCAGAAAAACCAGAGCAGCTCTTCCCATACTGAGAGAGCAAACGATCTCCAAGTGATATTGTTTAAAGACAAAAGCCAAGTGCACAGCAATGTGAGTGCCACTCCACTGCGTATGTAAAAGAAAAAGGAGGGGAGAATACAGATGTATTTGCTATTATCCACATAAATGTGTTCTTGAAGGATATGCAGGAAACCAAGGACACGGGGAAGCTTATCCCACTCGAATGGGTGTTGCCTACTGAAATAGGTAAGGTTCTAAAAACCCGGAGCTTACTCTAGATATCTAATTTAATCAGGTTTGACCTATGTTCACGCTAGAATCACTAATTTTGATTTTTTTTTTTAACCAAACTATAGGAAAGCAAGGCTATGACTTCACTGTCTGAGATCAGGAACCATCTGTGGACAAGAATGACATATTAGCTTTTGATTTGAGACATGCTTGAACCAAAAAAGGAACTCAGAGCTATATTGGTGACTAGTTTCACGAGAGCCTTCGTGAAAAGACAAGTGTCCTGTATTACTGCAGTTGTCAGTTTTAAGGACTTTAGAAGCGTAAATGCTACAAGCTTACAAAAATCATTGACAGCTTAAATTTCTTTTATACTTACCTGTTTTGTGGATTTTGCATAATACATCTTTAACCTTTTGTTTTAGTCAGTGTTTGTCATCTTCAATCAGAGAACTAAAACAATGAAAATATTAAGTTTTCAAAGAATGCTTTTTGTAAGTTTGTAGCATTTGTGCTTTTAAAATGCATCCAGACCTCTGGTGGCCTGTGTGCTGGTCGTAGGAAGTGCCTGGGAGGACCAGGGTGTGTGTGGGAGAGTGGGAGGTGCGGGCCCTTATGCATTGTACCAGTTCCTCCATTTTCTGACCAGACGAAACATATGAAATGCCCCCGGACAGCACCATCAGAGACGCTATTTTGTCAAGACGGCCGACTGCGCTCGGGGAAGAAAGCTGGCTTTAACAAATCACAGTTAGAAGACAAATGTGATGAACAAACAGACGAGAGAAAACGGCTACCTTTTCAACGTCGTCAGCATAAGCAGAAAGACCTGGCTGCAGTGCTTTGAAGGTTTCATGGGTCAAGGTGGGAGTCTCTGAGGAAAAAACATTTTTTAAAAAAGGTACAGCTATGAATGTATAGAAATATGAATTTACAAATATATAAATCTATACGACTGGGATTAGCCACACTTTTAAAGGCCAATCTGAAAACAGATGGGTCCCAGAGGGACAGGAGCCCTGTCCATGATTCTCATCTAAATTCTGACACTAGTTTGGCTAAATAAGATGAATATTATACCTAACGTTTTGGCCAGAACTTTACCTTTAAAATAAATAACTTTATTCAGGTATAATTTGCATACAAAAAACTCCATTTAAGGTTAATTCTTGTTGATTCAATAGAGGAGCAGGGCAGATGATTTTGCAGTTTTTCAAACTGCAAAAATGAAAGTCATTTCCTCGATTCTGGGGTGGATGCATTATGGGATTCTAAAAATATCTGCTTTCTTCTGTTTTAAAAATTGAGTGTTTTAAATATTTAGGAGGCTGGGCTCCTGCGCACACAGCAGGGTGAGCATTCAGAGCATACAGTGGCCAAGGGATGCTGGTCTAAATTCAGACACGGAGACCCAGGAGGAAAAATCAGAAACAAAACTTTTGTAAGGATTAAATAATGGAATGTCGCTATTAACGGATTCCATGAGGACATGTGTAGTCTTAAACTCAGCACCAAAACCATTTTTGGAGGTAGAGAGGACAAGCACATAAATATGTATTTAACTTGCAAGAAGTTTAGAAACAATGCAGATGAAAAGTAAATAAAATATCCATGATGGCTTTGGAGGGCTACTCAGGGTGTCTGCATCACCTGCTCAGTTAAATGCACAAAATGGCATCGACTCAAAAGGCATTGAAAGTGAGCAAAGAAGCAGAGTAGAGAGGAGAGGACCCTGGCTTGACCGGTGTGCCTGCTGAACAGTCAGCAGAAACACTGGCTAGAGGCTGGAGAGGAATCCTCAGAGCCAATGGGCACAGAGAGGTGCTGGGAAAGGAGGTCAAAGGGAGGAGGAACAGGGTGAGGGGCTGGGCAGTGGTGGGGTCTCCCTATAGGAGAAGCCAGTGAGTGACGATGCCTAAGCCCCTCCTCTGAGAAGCAAAGCTCACAGGCTCTGGCTCCAGCTCCACTCTCACTGCCGAGGCCATGGCCCCACTGGCAGCTCTGTGTTGGGCTGGGGTCTGGGTCTTTCCAATTCTCTGACTGTCCTAGACTCCTAGCTCCACTGGCCTGAATCTGGGGTTACTTCCTGCCTTAAATTCACGAATACGATGTCTGGCCTAAGTCATGGTCCCAGCCACTTGACCTGCTGGGAGGGGACAGGCCACCAAACACCCTCTGGGATCTCAGTTGCCCTTAGCTGGTAGCCAGATGCTAGTACAAGTAAGAATATTCTGGGACTCCTGGGAAATGTAGATTCCTGGGTCCCCACCCATACTCTGAGTCAGCATCACTGGGACACTGCATTTTTGACAAGCTCCCAGGTGAGTCTAAGGCAGGGAGTCTAGCCCATACCCCGAGAAACCACTGCCTTTAAGGGAGGGGGGGTGATCCCAAGGGCTCTGCTGGGAGAGAAGGAGAAAAAGCAGCACGCAGCAGGGCTTTCTGGTGGGTGGGATACTCCGGGCTGCCAGGTGAGTTGAAAGATATGCACTCGAGTGCCAGTGCTTCCCGCGTCAACATGATGCATAGAGACCTGTGACCACGTGCAGTCGTCCCCG